GCGGATTTTTGAAAGCGAGGCAACGCTCAAAACGCTAAAAAATGTTTATCAATTTCTGGAAATTTAAAGATAAGTACCCAGTAAGAAGCTACTGTGCGCACTACTGACATTGATTGTTCGCAACGGCAGACAATAGCCATTATACTAGAACAGTCCATGACAACGTCCGGGTTTTTATCAATGATTTTTTCCCAAACACAATTGATTTGGAGATAGGCATTGATGTCTCTTGTGTCCTCCTCTCTTTCTGTCCTCCTCCATTGCACGTTGGGCTCTCGCACCAGAAACTCCTCTCCACAAGTCTATCCGAGTTGTGTTGCTTGATTTGGAAGACTTTTGAGTTCCTTCACTGTAAAACCCTTTAAGTTTGCTAAGAAGATGCGCGAGTGTATTTCCATTCACGTCGGCCAGGCCGGAGTTCAGTTGGGCAGCAGCGCCTGGGAGCTGTACTGTCACGAGCACAACCTTCAACCCGATGGAACACTCAAACCCTCAGAAATGGCCGAAAGAGAACAGCAGCCGGGAAGCAGCAGTAAATCGACCTTCAGCAACTTCATGAGCACCTTCTTCAGCGAGTCGGGCACCACCGGTCGCTACGTGCCTCGCTCACTCTTCGTCGACCTGGAGCCGACGGTGGTGGACACGGTGCGCCTGGGGCCCTACGGGAAGCTCTTCCACCCTGAGCAGCTGATCACCGGGAAGGAGGACGCGGCCAACAACTACGCCCGCGGCTACTACACCGCCGGCCGGACGGTGATTGACCGCGTAATGGACCGAGTGCGCAGAGAGTACGAGCAGTGCGAGGGCGTCCAGGGCTTCTTCATCTTCCACTCATTTGGAGGCGGCACCGGGAGCGGCTTCACCAGCCTCCTCATGGACCGCCTGACGGCTGACTACGGGAAGAAGGCCAAGCTGGAGTTTGCCATCTACCCGGCGCCCAAGGTGTCCACCGCCGTCGTGGAGCCGTACAACACCGTCCTCTCGACGCACGCCACCCTGGAGCAGTCCGACTGCACCTTCATGATCGACAATGAGTCCATCTACGACATCTGCCGTCGCAAGGTGGACGTCGAACGGCCAAGCTACAGCAACCTCAACCACATCATCAGCCAGGCAGTCTCCTCCATAACCGCCTCGCTGCGCTTCGAGGGCACCCTCAACGTGGACCTGAACGAGTTCCAGACCAATCTGGTGCCGTATCCGCGCATTCACTTTCCCATGGTGTCGCTCAGTCCGATCGTCTCCGCCGACCGCGCCTACCACCAGCAGCTGAGCGTCGCCGAGATCACCGAGGAGTGCTTTGAGCCGCAGAATCAGATGGTCCGCTGTGACACTCGCCAGGGCAAGTACATGAGCTGCTTTCTGCTGTACCGCGGCGACGTCGTGCCCATGGACGTGACGGCGGCCATCACGCGCATCAAACAACGGCGAACCATTCAGTTTGTGGACTGGTCGCCCACTGGCTTCAAGATCGGCATCAACCTCAAGCCGCCCACTGCCGTGCCCGGTGGCGACCTGGCCAAGGTGCCCCGGGGCGTCTGTCTGCTCTCCAATTCGACTAGCATTGTTCAAGCGTGGGCCCGTCTCGACCACAAGTTCGACCTGATGTACGCCAAACGTGCCTTCGTCCACTGGTACGTCGGCGAGGGCATGGAGGAGGCAGAGCTGACTGAGGCTCGCGAGAACATGGCCGCCCTGGAGAAGGACTACGAGGAGGTGGCCGCCGATTCGCACACTTCTGAGGAGGACAAAGAGGCACAGGAGTTTTAAATGTTATTGAGTCATATCATCTTTAGGGGAATACAATTCGATGTGTGGAAAAATCAGTAAAAAGAAAAAAATAAGAGAGCGAAAATTCTGAATAGCGGGAATCCACAAAGAAAAAAAGTACTGTTGAAATGATCTGGAGAAGTGTTCGGCAATTGATTATTAAGTCTTTGTCCGTCCATTTCCTTGCCATAAATGACCCTTTCAGTGGTAAACGTAGGAAAGATGATTCTTAGCGCATGCGAAGCAAATGATGGATTCTCGCAGAGCACAGGCATCTTCGAGATGTCCCGGATTAAGACATACGCCACACAGGGAAAGATCCTTGATGCGGTCTCGCTTAAAACTTGAAGTCTCCGGGCAGTTGACCATATTGTGCTCGTTAGTGGCGCAGAAAAAGCAGTTTTTGAGGTGAAAATGGCAGGCGAGTCGCAAAGGAGCAATCAACCACTCAAACTCCGTCTCCTTTGTGCCTTTTACTGATATTTTGAATGCATGTTCGTTTGAAAAACTAGGTTTTGACGAAGCTTTGGCGTCCATTAGCAGTTGCTGCATTCCACTTTTTCGGTCACCGTTGTTAGCTAAAAGGCAAAACTGAGTGTAGAATCACATCAACTACTACTTTATTTGTACGTGTAAACTTACCTGTGCCATTTGAACTTTGCTCCGGCAAAGTAGAGCTGCTCGTTTCAGGACCATTGGTCAACATTAGAATGTCACTTTCGAACTTTTGCTTTATTTCGCGACCCAGACTCATTATAGTCAAACTATCTAGCATTTTTTGCGCCCCTTCAGTAGGGGCCGCCCAGTCAAAGTCTTCCTCGTTGTCGTTGCTACTTAAAGTAGGCAGCTGATAAAATCTTTTGCCTTTTCGAGGTTTTGGAGGATCCGGCTTGTCGCAATGGAAAGTAGTAGTAATGGCAGCACATCTATCCATCGGTTGTTCCAAATGAGGTTTAATGTCGAGTGAATCAATGTAAACGCCGCCATCATCCAAAATCTCTTCATCCATTGGCTTTCCCGTGCGGAAGTAGTCATCCATCTTGATGTGCGCGTGAGGTGATCGAGTTACAGAGGTCGAAGGACAACTTGGGCTTGGACTTGATGACCAGACCTTCTACGAGACACAATGTTGACCAGGTAAAAGGAATTTGTCGCAGTGCGGCATTGCCTCATTTATGTGATCCACTGTAAACAGTAGTGCACACACTGGNACCTTCTACGAGACACAATGTTGACGAGGTAAAAGGAATTTGTCGCAGTGTGGCATTGCCTCATTTATGTGATCCACTGTAAACAGTAGTGCACACACTGGTCGCTAGGGCGGCGTAAGTGTCTGCAAAAAAGGAGTTCACAAATGCTATGATGGGCGATCTAGGTAAAGGAATCACAATATATTCTTTTTGCACTGGAGAAAAGAGAAAAAGTGGTCACTGAGAAAGAGAGTATAGGAAAAAGTTTATTGAAAAGAGTGTCGAACCCAATGTAACGGAAGAGAAGGTAGTGGGAAGTGGTGGTGGTCGTAGACACAGAGCCTCTTTGAAAGAGGCACGGCACCATAGTGACTCTGGCTTGCCGTCGGCTTATAAACCTCCTTACGCGAGAGGTGCTCTCATGGTCATGGAGGTCAGAGCACATGTTGAATAGAGCCAGTCACGGGTACTCGATGACCTGGATGATAAAGTGATCCCTAGCGGACAAGCGACAGAGGTGCATGCTGCGGCAGGTCATTGCAGAGCTTTCCAGAGTCACTTTGTTAGAGGTCAACACGGTCAAATCCTTGACACAACACTAAACCTGAACTTATAGAAGAGAAAACGGTCGTTGGTTTCTGAGTTGAATAAAAATTGATTGTAGGCAGTTTATTGAACTTAAAAAACACAACATGAAAAGGAGGTGAGGGATTGCGGCATGGAATCGCAGAACATCCTCGCCAAGACTCATTGGTGACAAGGATAAAAAGAGTCAGTTAAGAATGAGAAATATTATTTCAAGAGAGAGAATACAAATTCAGGAATCATCATTCCAACTCATCTAATGTCACAGGGTGCTGTAAAGGTATTATCGATAATTTATCCACGTCGCGAGGCATTGCTTTTCTCATATCTAGAATGATTGAAAGTGTTACTAAAATAACATCTTGATTTACATGACCACTCACCATAAGCATCTTCGTCTGGATCTCCAGTGTAGTACTCGAGGACAGTTCGGTAAACGCTGTACCCTAGTTTCTTGTACATTTCAATGGCCACAACGTTTGAGACGCGAACAAACAAGTCTACAAAATAGGCTTGCTTCCTGAAAAAAACAAGTCAACTTACTATGTGGTTTTCATCAAGTACACCACAAACTCACTTTTCAGAGATATACTCTAGTCCACTCATCAGTTTTCCGGCGAGATTCAGGCGACGATACTGTGGTGCCACGGTTAGAGCGGTGACATGGCCGTGCCAGTTGTTTCCGTTCCCTTCAATCTTCCCCATGACTATAGACAACACAAATGTTAGTGAAAAGTTACCTAAAACACACGAAAACTGTACGTACTGTAGCCCATGATGTCTCCATTTGGCGCTTCTGCTACCTGAAAGTACTCAGGCCAGTGTGTAAGATACTGAAGGTAAAAGTTGAGGCCATAGGTTTCCGTGAACGGATCTAAATTGCTGAAAAAACAACGTGGTCAGAGAGGGATCAGCGTGGGAAATGCGTTGGTCAATTTTCTTACACGTTATTGAACCGAAAGAGGTCATTTAGACAGAAAGGTCGAATGTTGGTCATCTTGTAAAGTGGTTGTTATCCGGCGAAATGTTGACGAAATGAAATAAAAACAAACCCAAATCTTCAAACAGTAGCGTGGCCGGGCCAGTTTGAAGATCGGCTTCTCTGGCAGTACAGTAACGTTTTGTTGACATGACCCTCTCGCAGCTGATGGAAAATGTAAACAACATTTACAAACTCTCATATTTTTGTGCAATAACCTAATCAAATATCCTCTGATTCACACCCTAATTACTATCTTCTCTCCCTCTTTCTCAGTGTAATTAATGACCAAAAACAATGTCCAAAAATACACATAATACCTCGGAAAGTTCGCCTGGATCAGGCGCACTCAGCTCACTGCCGAAACCTCATTTGAAGGGATATCTTTTTGGACAACTATGTGGAAAGGGGACGTATGGATACGTTTTCAAAGCCACCAAAATCGTAAGTTTGAGTAAAAAACTGCAACTATTGCGTAATATTAAAATATCTTCTTCTGTAGAACCCGCCAAAAGATGTTGTTGCAGTCAAGTGCATTCTTCTAAAAACACTGTCAAAAACAACAAGAGAAAATGTAATTCAAGAGATTTCTATATTGAAGCAATTGAAACATAGGCACATTGTGCAAATGCTTGATTTTCAATGGGACAACAGTTTCATTTACATGATCTTTGAGTTTTGTCCTGGTGGAGAACTGGCGACCATAATGCACCTCAAAAGATGCTTTCCCGAGGAAATAGTTCAGCACTTCTTACAGCAAATAGCTTCTGCATTGCAATTTCTTCGCACCCACAACATAAGTCACATGGACCTGAAGCCGCAAAATATTCTCATTAGTGGAATCGCTTTTGTCAACCTTCTGAATGAGCTAAACTCATTTAAAGTGTGGCGAAATGTGGTACTCAAAGTAATTGATTTCGGCTTTTCTCAGCATTTGAGCGATGAGGAGATTGCAACTTCTTATCGAGGCTCGCCACTGTACATGGCGCCGGAAATTTTAGTTGGCCACGAATACGACGCTCGAGTTGATCTCTGGTCGATTGGTATCATCCTCTACCAGTGTCTATTTGGCTGTACGCCCTACCAGTTCACTTCTACGGATGACATAATCACCAAGTTTAAGAGGAACCAAATTCACATTTCAATTCCCACTAAACCGAAAATCTCAGCCAATTGTCGTGACTTACTGAAACGACTACTACAGTTTGATCCCAAAGTACGCATCTCCTTTGATGCCTTTTTCAACCACCCGTTCCTTGATCTCGAGCACATGCCATCGGCGGAATCATTTGAAAAGGCTAAATCAATCGCATTAGAAGCGGTCAAAGAGGAACAGAACAAAAACTACTTAACAGCTTTTCACCTGTATCGTGATGCAGTCTTCTACCTAATGCCACTGCACAAGTGGGGGGTTCCAGGACAATTTTCAAGGGGCACAATGCAAAAGCCACTGATGGACGCAATATTGCAGTATATGGAGAGAGCAGAGCTACTGCAAAAAAAGTGCAACATAAAGAGCGTCGATCCGGAGATGATGACGCAGATTCAGGACGTCTACAATATGATTGACGCTGCGAGGGAGCACTCTGAAAATGAGCTTTTTGAACAGTCAATACAGCAATACGACGCGGCAATTGAGAAAGCACTGAAGATACTAAAAAATTCAGACTCCTCAACAAGGACAGAGTTCTTTGGCGAAATCAACAACTGGATAACAGAGTACGAACATGCTAAGGAAAAGTTGAAGCCCAAGTCACCTAGTGTAGAGCCGAAGAACTTCAAAACGGGCTCTTTAAGGCACTCCAAGTCAGAAAAAAGAAACCCGGGGGATGATGACGATGAAGCGGGCACTGTTCAGTTTATCACATCTGCATCTACAAACACAAAACCTCGCCAAGTGAAACCCAAACGATCCAAATGGCGGAACATAATTTCAGTCAACTCTGATTTACCAAAAGACGAGTTCGCCACTCAAGAATCAGATAAATGCTATGTCCAGTAGATATGATCAGTTTTTGTTATTTGCCCCTGCAACTTGTTTTTTGTTTTTATATGTAAAGAAGCGGTTTGGTAACGCGGCGCGCGGAGAGATTTACAAGCATGACGTAGTCCAGACTCACTNACGAATTTTCACGCAAGAGTAAAGTCGGAATGCAAAGAAAAGTTGGATTTTCAAATGATCCTTGATCCTATTTCCACTCCACTCTTGTGGTGGACGCGAGTCTATTATCACCTGGCAAACAGACTTTTTCTCGGGAGGTTTTTCAAGTGTTCCTTATCAGGACAAGTGTACTTTAAGGCTTAAAGTTTAAGCCGGTGGTGTCATCATCTTCTGTGAGTACTCATTTTACACTTGCAAATTGTGGTGTTCTAACCAGTCCATTTTTCTTTTTAGTGCCCTCTTCAACACCAATGCCAAAGCCCATTTCACTTGTTGCAGCCTGCTGCCGTTCTCACGGAATAGGCAAGAATGGCGACCTTCCGTGGCGTCTGAAGAAGGAGATGGAGTTCTTCTCGCGAATCACCTCAACAGTGTCCACTCCCTTGGCCGAAGCAGGCGATGATCAGGTGAAGAAGAACGCTGTCATCATGGGCATCACTACGTACATGTGCATTCCACCGCGCTTCCGCCCTCTGAAGGACCGCGTCAATGTGGTGCTCAGTCGAACGGCTAGAGAAACGCCCGCTGGAGCTTCTTACATGTTCCGAAGTCTGTCGGAGGCCGTCGAGACGCTGTCTACACTGCCGGAGATTGACCAACTCTTTGTGATCGGCGGCGAATCGGTGTACCGTGAGTCGGTCACCCGTCCCGATGCTGAGTTTATCTTCCTCACTCGAATTGACGCCGACATTGACTGCGACCGCTTCTTCCCAGAGGTGGACATGTCAGTGTACGAAGACTTGACCGATGACTCGGTTACAGCACCTGACAAGGAGGAAATTCTTAAACGCTTTGACATTCCAGAGGGAGTTCAGACTGAAAATGGACTCTCATACAAGTTTCACTTGTACCGAAGAATCCCTGGCAAATAATTTCTATTTGTAACTCCTGCTTTCAATGTGCCAAATTATATCTTTTTCATGCTTTTATTTCAGGTTTTGAATATGTTTCAACGGTTTTGATTCAAAGTCTTCTCAAGTAACTTGAGTCAAGTTGTGCTTGTCAGTGATGTTTACTTGCAAAGTTGCAACCAGTGGCAAAAGACGGTGACACAGTCGCTTCAAATCATTTTGTTTTTTCACATTTTTTTTGGTTGTTACCATTTTCATGGTCATTCATTTTCTGAACATTGTAGACGTCAAGATTTGCAACAACAAGAANGCGGTGACACAGTCGCTTCAAATAATTTTGCTTTTTCACAAATTTTTTTTATTATTTTTATCATTTTCTGGGTCATTCATTTTCTCAACATTGTAGGCGTCAAAGTTTGCAACAACAAGAAGTCTACTGTCGACGGAAGTTTAAGCCGTCTTGAGTGCCTGTCAAACACTCAACATTCCAGCTCAATTACTACCATCAACAGGTGTCATCACATTTCAATTACCTTTGGTGCACTAGGAGCGTTTGTGCCCTAGACAACTGCAAGTACTCATTATTATGGACATTTTTGCAAAGATGTCTCAATTTAGAAGCTATGGGTGTCTGCAATTTTCTTAAACTCACTGGCATATTTGAAGTACTTTCACTGATGGTTTTGCTCGATTGGTTCAATTTGAGTTTGACTTGCCAAAATGTGTCGAGTCGAACTGTCACCCGCTGGGAGCGGTGAGAAACAAGACGACAGCGTTGCCCTCATCACCATCCCCATCCCCAAAGTGCCAATGGTAAGTCAACTGTCACTGGTGTCATAATAAATGGCCTTGGCCATGGTCACCACCGGCGAGTTATCACTACCGCCGATCGGCACCTGTCCATTAGGCAGCACGCTTCTTTATTACATTTTTCCATTAAGTAGTCACCTAGTTAGCTCTGACAGCTGCGGCTGCGACAGCACTGTCACACTGCACTGTGCACCTGATCATTATCACCATCATCATCATCATCATCAACTTTGCCAGGAAATGACAGCGCAGCAGCAGCAGCAGCAGTAGGCGACCCCTCGCTCTTCCTCAGTTTGACCTATTCGCGGGGACAAAACACACACACATATCAGCAGAAATGGATGCCACTTTTGCCACCTCTCTCCCCTTCTTCTTTTTCATCTTTTTTTGTGAATTGTAAATGTGCCATCAGACGGCAGTGTGAGTGACATTTGTTTGTGTGTGCAATTATAGATTGCACTTCCAGATAGATAGGAATACACTCTCTTCATTCTTCATTCTTCAGGCTAACTAATTGTCCTTCTAGGGGTGTCCATTAACTTGAGTTTTTAGTCCATTAAAAACTGATGATGTATGGTTCACTTTTCTTTGATGTGTAACTGCTGTCAATGTTTTTCACTGTGAATTGTTTAGTTAAAGTGCACCACTGGTTCTTGCCAATCATCAGAACTGATTGTTGTCTTTGAGAAAGTGACTGCTGTCTGACTGCTTCTGCTCCTCTTAAAAAAGTTGTTATGGTCAATTTGATGTATTAGCAGTCTGTGACTACTCTACCACTTTTTTGGTGAAGTCACTTGATGATTGTTTCGGTTTAAAAAGCAATCACTTTTGTTAGTGGCAATCAAAAACGAATGACTCGGCAAAAAAAATGGGCAAATGTTTAGCATAAACAAAAACTCAGCACTAGACAAATGAAATCGAGCCTCCGAAACAGTTAAGTCAACAGAAGAGGGAGAAGGAGAGAAGCAAAGTGAGGTCCACTTGGTGATGGGCACATTTGAAGACACAGTTGATTTATTAGGCCCAACTGGTGGCACTGCAAACCATTATTAGCATTCGTCGGAGTTCTGGGAGAGCACTTTATACTTAAAGTTTAGCTGCTTCTGTCTTCTGGTTTTCCAATTTGTACTCCAATTGCAGGATTTGCTGCTGAATATATTGTCTACAGTGGTAAACTTGCCTTTTCTTTCCGGCCGTTATAATTTGCTTTGCTTTTCAAAGAAAGCAAGTTGATCACTTTTATTCCAAGTACAATACCTGTAATGCTGGGCAAAGAGTCCTCCCTTATTTTCTCTTTCACTTGAATCGACTTTTCTCGTGCAAATTCATTTGCCCATCATCATCATATTGGCCTGCAAATGTCTTCATTGGTCTGACACACGAAGGTGGTTTGACTCGGTCGATAAATAACTTCATTTACAGGGCGAGGATAACATCAGCTCCTGATGGGGTCGCACTTGGCACTTGTCCAATTGACTGGGTGGTGGTGCACTTTGCACAAAACATCTCTCTAGGTGCACAGCTGTGTCTGTCTGTGTCTGTGACCTCCACAGGGGCCAGAATGTGGAGGAGATGTGTGTAATTCAATTTGAATGTGAGATGAGCGTTCTTTGGAGAGTGGTATCGGTGAATCACATTCGTTTTCCTCTCTGTCGCTCATCTCTCCAACTGCCTGCAGTGCTTAATTAACTTTCGATTGAATGCAGCGGCATCAGCAGCAGCAACATCATAATCATCCCTCCCAACAAATTGCCCTTTCCCTCTTTCGCCTCGTTCTATCTCAGTTTGCAGTCTAATGACTTAATTTGGAGATTCAATCTGAAGATGCTTGGATTCTATAATAGCAGTTTGGCTGATCAACTGCAGCAGCAGCACCCTCTCTGGCAGTTTCTCGTCCTTTCAAAAGCAATGTCATTTCTACTAGGAGGGCATTCCGAACAATGCCACTGAGAAGGGCTATCAAGTTTTGAAAAGTTAACTGCAGCTTAGGTAGAGCGAGGGTAGCTTTTGTTCAACTGCCCTAAACTTTTTTTTGTAGTTGCAGTCATTGCCTGGAGCCAACTGAGCTATTTCCAATTGAGCTATAAAGCTAAACGATCAGAAGCTGCGAGTTAATGGCAAAGTTTTCTTATCTCAAATCCACAATATAGCCGTTCCTTGAATGCTTTTCGGTAAATCAAACCAAATCAAACTTTGCCATTTGACGATGACCAAGACAAATGAGCACTTTTTCTAGCGCTGATTACCCAAGTACAAGTCGCCTTCTCTCTCTCTCTTTCATACTCTTCAGTCTGATGTCTCTATACGGCGCATCATTTCATGCCCTTCACTACGATAATTCCCTTTTCATTCTCTCATTCATTTATCGAGTGCTCTGTGTCTCGCCCTAATGCGAGTGTAATCACAATGTGCAACCGATTTTTGGTTGTTTTACAAGTTTGTAGTCATATTTCATGTCTTTCGATGGTTGTTAGCTTTATATTTTATTATACTGGAGCACACACTTCACCAAGCCCAAACTTTGCTCAAGACCAAAACTTACGACTGACAGTTCAATCGATTTATCTCTTGTTGACTCGTCTCGGACGCCAAGGGAAGGAAAGAGGACGCGCAGCAATCGATTGCCCTTGCAGACGCCGCAGTCTGATGAGAACTTGCTTCAACCCCCGTTTGTTTGTTTCTCCCCTCTTTTCAAAGTGAACATGACCGCCTGCTAATAGCGACTTTTCCTTGAGAGCACTTTATGCGAAATGCTTTCAGAGCATTTTTTGCAGTTTATTTTTTCCAACTTTACAGAAAACATGGAGACATCGGCGCCGGTGTTGCGACGTAAACGTCCTGTAAGTAATTGATACCAGTGTGCGCCTGTGTCAGTGTTGGCACCTGGTCATGGGAGAAGCCGAGAGAAAGCAGCTAATTGAGAAGTCATCAGAATCACCACCAGTGGACAGTAAGGTGAATGGGGAGCGAAGGCGACCTTTTCAGTGCGGCACTTTTAAGCAAGGGGAACATCATTCGCAGATGCATCTTTATCGACAGAAATGCTTTGGGTGAAAGCAACTGATTCAAAGGCGATAAAGAGGGGAGAAAGAGAAAGAGGAGACGTCAACTGAGCCCAGCTTTGAATGAGGCTCGGCTCGAACGACGGCGAATGTACCCTTCAGCTGAACGATCACTCTCTTGAGGTGCCATAAAACTGGGCGACATCTGACATCTCTCTTTGCCCACTATTCTTTAGCTGCTCCTCTTTTTCCTTTTCCTCTCACTATTTGCTGCCATTTTGCAGAGACAACATCTCATTTCAAATTGAAGCTAGCAGGCTAGTTGACTGGCAGTGCCAATGCAGCAGACAACAAAATGGTGCACTTTATGAGCCTCGCCAATGGTTATAACTCGCCTCGTCTTACAGGTGCCACCACTCTCTATCCTCAACGAGAAAGCTTCAGCAGTAGTAGACTAGTGCTGTGTCTGCCGCCTTCATTTGAGCGCTGTTCAGACTGCTGTTTTCGCTGATAAAAATGTATACGGGCAATGTGGCGAGAAAAGTGCAACTTAATTAATAGCCAGCTAGTGCTGTTCAGCCAGTTAGGTTTGCGGTGAAAGCTGAGTTTAGAGTTCAACCACTTTCAGTTACTTCTTGCCTGGCTCCAATAGCACCTCAAACAATTCTCTGCCATTTGCCAACTCGCCCAAAATCATTTTCAGCTAATTACTGCGCTTTTCATTAGTCTTCATCGTCTGCATACTCGTGATCATTAATTCGGTAATTAGCTGCAAAAAAAATTAAAGTAAAAGAGAGGGAATGAAAGACAAGGACGGCAGCAGTTTCTTAATTCAGTTCACTTTGTCCAAGCCGACTGCAAAAGATTGAGATTTGTTGGTGCTGGTGATGGTAGTAAACTTTTTTTGTTAACGTTCAAGTTTTTGCTGTTGTTGTCTGGAGACTTACTTTTCTTTGCGTAATTATACACTTCTATTAGAGTGAAGAAAACAGGCGAGAATCGGCAGGCAGTTAGCTGTGTGAAATGGCCCATATCAGGCGAAAAACGAGTAGAGCCTACTGAGGCAGTGGAATGTGATTGCAATCACCAGTCTCTCTCACAATGTCTGCAGACAAGCCCAAGAGCTGGGTGCTAGGCTCGTTGCTTGGTGCTGCAAGGCCACTCTACCTGCACACTACCGCACTAACACAGACATCACCATCATCATCA